TTAAACTCACCAAAAATATTTTCTTTGTTACTATAAATCCCACCGATACGATTTTTTTAATTCAACCCTGCAATTATTGAGGTTAATTTGATAAAATTGCGATTTAAAATGTTGTATCTCAAGAACGAATTGAGATATCGCCATGAAATAAAATCCATTTTAAAGCAAATTTAATTCATATTTAATGAGTTAAAAATAATTTCTTTATTTCTACAATTTTCCACTTAATGATTTTTTTAATTCATCCACCTATGACAAATTAATAAATATTAAATAAAAAAAATAATTGAGATATCACGATGATTTAACAACCATTTTAAAGCAAATTTAATCTAGTTTAAACTCACCAAAAATATTTTCTTTATTACTATAAATCTCGCTGATACGATTTTTTTAATTCAACCCTGTAATTATTGAGGTTAATTTGATAAAATTGCTATTTAAAATATTGTATCTCAAGAACGAATTGAGATATCGCCATGAAATAAAATCCATTTTAAAGCAAATTTAATTAATTAAAAATATTTCTTTATATCTACAAATATCCACTTAATCATTTTTTTAATTCATCCACCTATGACAAATTGATACATATTAAATAAAAAAAATCATATTTCAAAAAATAATTGAGATATCACGATGATTTGACAACCATTTTATAGCAAATTTAATCTAGTTTAAACTCACCAAAAATATTTTCTTTGTTACTATAAATCCCGCCGATACGATTTTTTTAATTCAACCCTACAATTATTGAGGTTAATTTGATAAAATTGCGATTTAAAATACTATATCTCAAGAACGAATTGAGATATCGCCATGAAATAAAATCCATTTTAAAGCAAATTTAATTCATATTTAACGAGTTAAAAATAATTTCTTTATTTCTACAAAATTTCCACTTAATCATTTTTTTTAATTCATCCACCTATGACAAATTAATAAATATTAAATAAAAAAAATCATATTACAAAAAATAATTGAGATATCACGATGATTTAACAACCATTTTAAAGCAAATTTAATCTAGTTTAAACTCACCAAAAATATTTTCTTTATTACTATAAATCTCGCTGATACGATTTTTTTAATTCAACCCTGTAATTATTGAGGTTAATTTGATAAAATTGCTATTTAAAATATTGTATCTCAAGAACGAATTGAGATATCGCCATGAAATAAAATCCATTTTAAAGCAAATTTAATTAATTAAAAATATTTCTTTATATCTACAAATATCCACTTAATCATTTTTTTAATTCATCCACCTATGACAAATTGATACATATTAAATAAAAAAAATCATATTTCAAAAAATAATTGAGATATCACGATGATTTGACAACCATTTTATAGCAAATTTAATCTAGTTTAAACTCACCAAAAATATTTTCTTTGTTACTATAAATCCCGCCGATACGATTTTTTTAATTCAACCCTACAATTATTGAGGTTAATTTGATAAAATTGCGATTTAAAATATTGTATCTCAAGAACGAATTGAGATATCGCCATGAAATAAAATCCATTTTAAAGCAAATTTAATTCATATTTAACGAGTTAAAAATAATTTCTTTATTTCTACAATTTTCCACTTAATGATTTTTTTAATTCATCCACCTATGACAAATTAATAAATATTAAATAAAAAAAATAATTGAGATATCACGATGATTTAATAACCATTTTAAAGCAAATTTAATCTAGTTTAAACTCACCAAAAATATTTTCTTTGTTCTTATAATTCTCGCCGATACGATTTTTTTAATTCAACCCTGCAATTATTGAGGTTAATTTGATAAAATTGCGATTTAAAACTTTGTATCTCAAGAACTAATTGAGATATCGCCATGAAATAAAATCCATTTTAAAGCAAATTTAATTCATATTTAACGAGTTAAAAATAATTTCTTTATTTCTACAATTTTCCACTTAATGATTTTTTTAATTCATCCACCTATGACAAATTAATACATATTAAATAAAAAAAATCATATATCAAAAAATAATTGAGATATCACGATGATTTAGCAACCATTTTATAGCAAATTTAATCTAGTTTAAACTCGCCAAAAATATTTTCTTTGTTCCTATAAATCTCGCCGATACGATTTTTTTAATTCAACCCTGTAATTATTGAGGTTATTTTGATAAAATTGCGATTTAAAATGTTGTATCTCAAGAACGAATTGAGATATTGCCATAAAATAAAATCCATTTTAAAGCAAATTTAATTCATATTTAACGAGTTAAAAATAATTTCTTTATTTCTACAAAATTTCCACTTAATCATTTTTTTTAATTCATCCACCTATGACAAATTAATAAATATTAAATAAAAAAAATCATATTACAAAAAATAATTGAGATATCACGATGATTTAACAACCATTTTAAAGCAAATTTAATCTAGTTTAAACTCACCAAAAATATTTTCTTTATTACTATAAATCTCGCCGATACGATTTTTTTAATTCAACCCTGTAATTATTGAGGTTAATTTAATAAAATTGCGATTTAAAATCTTGTATCTCAAGAACCAATTGAGATATCGCCATGAAATAAAATCCATTTTAAAGCAAATTTAATTCATATTTAATGAAATAAAAATTAATTCTTTATTTCTACAATTTTCCACTTAATGATTTTTTAATTCATCCACCTATGACAAATTAATAAATATTAAATAAAAAAAATCATATTTCAAAAAATAATTGAGATATCACGATGATTTAACAACCATTTTAAAGCAAATTTAATCTAGTTTAAACTCACCAAAAATATTTTCTTTGTTTCTATAAATCTCGCCGATACGATTTTTTTAATTCAACCCTGTAATTATTGAGGTTAATTTCATAAAATTGCGGTTTAAAATACTATATCTCAAGAATGAATTGAGATATCGCTATGAAATAAAATCCATTTTAAAGCAAATTTAATTCATATTTAATGAGTTAAAAATAATTTCTTTATTTCTACAATTTTCCACTTAATGATTTTTTTAATTCATCCACCTATGACAAATTAATAAATATTAAATAAAAAAAATAATTGAGATATCACGATGA